GACTCAGGCTGGCAAAGAGCTGACTGACTATAAGGATAAGGCTGCTCTCGAAGTTATAGATTCACATGGCCTGCTTCCCAGTGCTGAAATTAAAGGTGTGCACTACTACACCTAGCTCCTGGGCACTTGAACTCACAGAGATCTGCCTTTCAAGTGCTGGGATTAAAGGTGTGTGCCATCACTGCCCAGCTTGCCCATTCCTTTTACTGGCAAATAATATTCCATTTTATGGTTGTACCACATTTTCATTCATCCATTGATTGGTACACATTTGGATTCTTTAGACTTTTGAGGTTTTTGTTTTTACAAACATATTTTCAGCTTTGTTGGAGTAGAACTTATTTTTTTTTGTTTTTTTTTTTTTTTTTTTTTTTTTTTTTTTGTATTTTTTATGAAATGCCAAATGGTTTTAAAGTGGCTATACCATTTTACAGTTCTAAGTAATGTATGAGGCTTCTGATTTTTTTTTTTTTAATATCCTTCTTAATACTCTGCACACCTTTTTGGTGCTAGTGGTTGAGTACAAGTTTGTTTTGTTTTTCATGATAAATATACACTCTAGGGTTAGAGAGATGGCTCACAGGTTAAGAGCACTGGCTGATCTTCCAGAGGTCCAGAGCTCAATCCCAGCAACCACATGGTGGCTCACAGGCATCTGATGCCCTCTCCTGGCGTGCAGTCATACATGCAGGCAAAGCACTTACACATTTAAAAAAAAAAAAAATCACTCTACTACCAAGCCACTCCCATCCCTGTCTATCCTTATAATTTCACATGGTGAAATGGTAACTCACAATGATTTTTATCCCATTTCCCCAATGGTTTAGGATGTTACATCTTTTCAAGTATTTATTAGCTACTTAAACATTTTTCTTGGAGGAATTATCTTTATGATAAGTTGAAAGCGTATACTATGTATAGTTAATAAAAAGAAATCTTTATGGGCTCTGTAATTCATATATTTTCCAGTAATTTGGAAATGTTTGTGGTTTTGCTAATTCCCACAATACTATATATTCTACAAAGGTAACTTGAACATTTAAAAGTATTTTTGGCTTTGATTTCATACAAAATTTCACATCAATTTTTTTTTGGTTGTTGCTATTACTTTCAAGATGGGCTCTCAGTGATGTCTAGGCTCGATTTGAACTCCTGGGCTCAGGTGACCCTGCTTCCTGGGCCTCCACAATAGCTGAGACCATGGGTACACACCACTGTACCTGACTTCACATCTCTTTAACAGTTAATATTAGTTGTAAGGTATATATAATCAAATATAAGCAAAACGGTAGTTTGTTTTAGCCTTTTGCTCACAAGTTTGTTAACTGAGATTTGATTTCTGTTGTACTTCATATATTAAGTTGGTACCACTTGCCTTCTGCAAGTGTGACCTCTATTCCCCCTTGCACCTCAGCTGATCCATCCCATATATGCACTGTTCCCTGCTCCCTTTGCTCCATGTTCTCTGGCACAGATCTTGCTGTTTCATTAGCCTCAGTCCAGCAGTGTCTGAATAAAGGGCTTACTCAATAAATCACCAGAAGTTTTTTTCACTTATTCCCTGTGGAAACTTTCAGGGTGATTAGCAAGCTCGGTGGTTTGATCTCTTCATGACCTCATTTGCAAACTGGGCTACAGATTTTCCTGTCAGTTCAAAGGGACATGTGCCTTTAGTGTAAATGGCTCTTGGACAAGAGTGTGAGAACCACTATGCAGAGCCTGTAATAATGTGGGCTTTCAATTGTTGAAAGGAAATAGAATCAGTAATGCTCACAACTGAATAGCTGTGGCCCAGCAGAAAGTTTCCCCAGTTCTGTATACTAATTCATATGCAACACAGGAGTCCAGCTTTAATTTTATCTTGTTCAGACTTATACTTATTAAATGTATTCACAGTCTGCTATTCTTAGAATTGAAGTCTTCCCCACCTCCATCCCCCTCACAGCTGCCTTAGCCTGTGAGGAAAAGGGTTAAAGGGCCAGTCTAAAGTTAATGTAGTCATTTAGTTTGCTCATTCGTACATGGGGACAGTCTCTCAGTGGCTAGACACAATTCTAACCTTAGGATACATAGCCCTGTGTTTTTTGCACAGTAGTTCCAAAAATAGTACAATAAAGGGGATAGGAAGATGTCTCAGTGGGTAAGAGCACTGGTCCACAGCCTGATGACCTGAGTTTCATTCTCAAAACCCACACAAAGAGCCATATGTGGGAATGTGCATCTTTTATCTCAGAATTCTTGCAGGAAGATGAGAAAGTACACATAGAATTGGCCAGAAGCTCACAGAGCAACTGTGAGTATGCAGTTTAGCAACAGAAACAAAAGAGATCGTGCAACAAGCTGGAAGGCAGGAACCAACTCCCAAAGTCCACAAATTTCCACAAGCATGCCATGGCATGCACATACCCACACTCACACAGACACATCACACACAAAAGCTCAAGGGCTGCCAAGATGGTTTGGTGGGTAAAACGTTTGCTGCCAAGCCTGATGACCTGAGTATGATCTCCTGAAGCTACATGTTGGAAGGAGAGAAGCAATTGCTTAAAATTGTCCTCTGACTTCCACTCTCATGCTATGCCACATCCACAGAAATAAAAATAATAAATTTAAATTTAAAAGTACAATAAAAGCTTATTTGAACAGACTATATTTTCTGAGTATGTACTAGGTTTTGCCTTACAATGTGAGGTCCCCCCGCCCACAGGTTTTCTCTGCGTAATACTGGCTCTTCTACAACTTGCTTGGTTGTAGACCAGACTACCCTCAATCTGAGAGATCTGCCTGCCTCCACCTCCCCAGTGCTGGGATTAAAGGCGGACACTACGATGCCCAGTGATGTGAAATCTGTCTTTTATACTGTGTTTCTATAGCTTTTCCTGTCTATTAAAGTCACTCTTGGCCAGGTGTGGTGGCGCACACCTTTAGTCCCAGCACTTGGGAGGCAGAGGTAAGCGGATCTCTGTGAGTTCGAGACCAGCCTGGTCTACAAGAGCTAGTTCCAGGACAGCTTCCAAAGATACATAGGGAAACCCTGTCTTGAAAAAACAAAAAAAAAAGTAACAACAAAAAGTGTCACTGTTAAAAGAGACTGTATACATTCATTCATTCATTCTGAGGTCCCTAGACATTCAGGTTACAGTTATCTGTGAGCTAACATTCTAGACAGGGAGGCATCTTGCAAGTAACAGTTCAGTAAGAACTGATCTGTTGTGATGGGAGAAGCATGGCATATGCAGGGAAAAGGAGATGCCAGGACCTGCCCTCATGATTTCCTGCGAGCTGAAATTAAAGCCATGACTGCAGACCCAGAGAGGGGACTCAGCCTTTAAGAGCATGGGGTGCTCTGAGGTTCAGGTCCCAGCACCCATGTGGTACCTTACAGATACCTGTAACATGAGTTCCAAGGAATGTAATGCCTTCTTTTCGCCTCCATGGGAACCAGGCCATGGTACACAGATACACACACAGGCCAAATACCCATACACATAAAATAAAAATAAATTTTAAAAAATGTTTGCATTATAAAAATTACCTCATTCACCAGGGGGTGGACAGGAACCCAGTTAGGAAAAAGCCTAGATCATTGATGAGCAACAGTATTACATTCATTCACATGCATACTCTTTTTTTTGTTTTTTTCCCGAGACAGGGTTTCTCTGTGTAGCTTTGGAGCCTATCCTGGCACTTGCTCTGGAGACCAGGCTGGCCTCAAACTCACAGAGATCC